TAATAGAATCAAATGTTCAACTTAGGGCCAAAATTTCGACTCGGAATACGTTTCTCGAAACTAGAACTTCCCAGTGAGAAACGATTCGTCGATCGATGTCAAAACGATGTCGAATTGACATCGATACCGTCAAATTGACGTCAATTCGACATCGTTTCGACATCGATCGACGAATCATTTCTCACTGGGTTGAACCAAGTTCTAGCATCGTGGATGCCTTTATACGTACGTAAATTAATCTCTTTATCGACACGGAAAAATACAGCCGCGAAAACGGGCGAAGGAACGTTTAAAGAGTGCGTTACGCGCGATGAAAATGATGTTTACCGGCGCTATTTATTCTCGCCTTCGATCGAGAGAGGGCCGTCTTTTTCCATCGCGCGCATTTCAGCCGCTGCCCCGCGACGATCGATCACAATGAGCGCATTGTTACATGGATAAATAGCCTGCGGGGCCCTGAGAATGTTTTCTCGCGCCGCGCCGGGACTACCGCGCGCGAGGGAGAGCGAGAGGTAGCACAATAATTCGAAGGCGAACGGAGTGAGCGCGGCGCGAATGTTTCCGGTGGCGGCGTGTTTATCCAAGAATGACGTCGAGTGCGCGGCCATTCCAGCCGATTTTATTCACCGAGTGTTTATTTTAAGATCGCGCGGGTACCCGGCTTCCGGGTCTATTAAGAGGCGAGAGGTGCCCGCGCGGTAAAATCCTCTCTGCCGCTTTTATTATTATATAAACGCGAGGGGCTGAAAGGCGCGCGGGGACGCGCGTAATGAAAGCAACTCACTGTGCGTCCTTTGAAACGGCTTCGGAGGAAGAAAAGCTCACGCGGAGGAATTCTCGGAAGGGAAGTGGGCACCTAGCCCTTGTAGAACGGTTTAAACGCTAGACACGAGCGAAAGGATTTTCGTGGGACGCGCACGCGGAGAGAATTTTATCTTAAAATCTACCCTGAAAATCGTAGGGCGACGTGGCATTTTGAACTCTATCAGGGTTTTGTAAATTTTTGCCGTACATTTTACCAGCAATTATACTTAGTACACATTTTACTGGTAAAATGGAGATGGTAAAATTTCGTCCCACGATTACATGATTTTCAGGATAAATTTTAAGAGAAAATTCTCTCCGTGCAGGAAAACGGATATTGCGACGTGAAGTCACAATTCAAAGGAACAAAGGACATATAAGAGTCAAGACAGGGTGTTAGCGTCTAAGTGATTTTAATTTTGTTGCGAAAAATTTACCTCGGCCAAGGTTTGAATCCGGACCTTCCTCTCGAGCGTCTCTAATTTAAAAAAAATCATTTACAAATCTCTTGCGAAAATTAAAAAAGTCCGATGGTCCCTCTTTTATTTGCATGTAAACAGGTATATTCTTTCTGCGCAAATGTTTCTCATTCCGTACCTTCGTTCCACGTGGCTACGCGGAGATGCTAAAGGCAAACGTAACTGTAGCAAGTCGTGCTCCATATCGTTACATCGTGCTAATAGAGAATCTGGAAAACCGTTGTTCGCAGGTCACCGACACCAACGACAACGCGCCGACCTTCCAGAGCACGGCCTACTCGTTCGACGTGCCGGAGAACGTGCCGAGGGGCAGCCGCGTCGGCGAGGTCGTCGCGACGGACGCCGACGCCGAGGGACCCAACAGCCACCTGAGCTACGTGCTCATCTCCGACTGGGCGAACGACGTGTTCTCGCTGAATCCGAGCACCGGCGTGTTCACGCTTACCGCGAGCCTCGACTACGAGCAGGTTGGTACCGGAAGGGGAGTCTGCGCGCCATCACGCTCGATAACGAGCAACTCTGACGTAAATTAAGCCATCGAACGGCGACCTATCGCTTCGCCGAGCGCTGAACTCCAAGAAATGACGTAGCGCCGTGAACACCTCGGTCGAAAACAATCTATTGTTCCGAATCATTCGGCGCGATCATTGTCAGTCGAACGGCGCGTTGATCCGCTTACGATCATCCGGCTAGCCTTCCGTGTAGTAAGAGGCGACTAATAGTGCCTTGAAATCAAGCAGCTAAAAAGCAGCGCGAGGCAAAACCTAGAGAAGATATTTCACGACTATTGGTTAGTGCTGGTCCACTTGGACTCGAGGACCAGCGCCATATTACGGAAGAAGAAGATTATCAGTCGAACGAGGCGGACGTTCCGCGTGTCTTCGCGCGGCTCCTCGTAACGCGATCATTTCCTACGCAACGAGTCTCCTACGAGAGTTAGCAACATTTATCAATTGCGTTTAAGTTATGGTCGTTCTCCGGCGATCTGTCGAAATGAATGTTACGCGTGATTTGAAGTAGAAATGCGACAAGGGAATTATATAAATTATTTTAATTTCGATAATCCACGGGCGATACCTTTCTTACACAGTAAAAAATAAAATGTTAATGTCACCATTTTTTTACAAATAACACTTATTACGTCAGTTACTTCTTGACAAATGACGAACAGTTACAAATCAGAATAGTTGAGATAATTTTTAAGCAATGTCGATATTACAGGTTTTGGTTGATTTTGTGAAATAGTTGTGTTAAAAGAAACTGAAAATAATATTCCATTTTTAAGTAACATACATAAAGTGTCGAGTTATTATGTTAACATAAATGTAACACATAAAAGTGTCACGAAAATAATGACGTGTATGTTTTATGTTAATTTTACATTGAGGTAAGAATCAAAGCTTGGTAACACAAGAAAATTTTGACATTTGAACAGCTATTTTTTACCGCGTGAACGATCGAACTCTGAATGAATCTCTCGCACGTCGCCGCGCGGTATTGGATCCTTATTTATACCGAGGGAAATTTAAATTTCAACATGAATCGTCTCCCCGCGATTATGAATAGCTGATGAATCCGCGTGGAATTCCACGGCTCCGCGCAGCCACCTTCGGCGCTCGGCCTTCGGCGGGGCGGTGACGCGAATGAAGATATCGTCGATGACGATTACGAGCGTGTCACGCGAGACTTCAGCCCTCCCGGATCGGGTCCTTATTTATTAACAGACGGATCTGAATTTCTCATGAGCCGCTTCCTCTCGCGATTATAAATAGTCCGTGAGAAATTTTACGACATATTTAATTTCGGCGTCATCCGCGCGGACTCTCGTCCCGAAACGTCGCGGGCGTGCCGAGGCCTTTGAGCGCCGAAGGACTCCGGTTTCCTCTTCTCTCAACGATTCTCTCCCTACGTACACACACGGCCGGTGACTTGCCCGTCCTCTATTTATTATTCCATATAAAAAGACACTATTAAACGATCGCAGTCATGAACCAGGGCATGCTCACGAACTGGAACGATAATGCCGGATGATTCTGAAGCCACGTGTTTACACATCGCTGTAGATATGTCCATCATAACGGTCGCTGGACGCGAAGGGGTTAACGGCGGCCATCCCGCCGGGACGGAGGTTCCGTTCGGATCGGCCTCTCGGAACTGAAATACGCACGCGTGTAGCGTTAAAACGCGCCGGGTGCCCCGGGCAGCGATTATAACCACGAACACGCCTCTACATTCAAGGATCGGGGAGCGCACCTATTATATTACCCGGAGCGTAGGGCAACGCTAGAATTTAGGGTTTAACGCTATAACAGTCGGACAGATCGATGAACAGACAGTCTTTAATGGCGGCCTCTCCCGGTGCTACATTTCGGAGACAAGCCATACTTAGCCATACTTTCGGGAACGTACGCACTCATCGACTAGTAGTCAGTAGCGTAACCGAGGTCCTGAAATTCCACGGAGATGCGGGAAAGCATCTGCACCGCGGTCTCCCAAACGGGGCACGAGGGAGGGAATTGGTTGCGAACACGCGGGAGAGTGTGGAATAGTTGTTCTATCCCGGTTAGCTTCGAAGGAAAGACGTTGATTCTTCAGATAGAACCGATATTGTCTATCAGGCGCTTTTATTTACCAGTAAAATTGATAGCTTTCGCTCGCATACGAAGTCGCACGAAACTCTGCCATTTGCCATTGTGCTCCAATTGACATGCCGTGTTGTCTCCCACGATCGCGCGATTTTCAGGATAAATTTGAAGAGAAAATTCTCTCCGCGTAAGAATACGACTGACGCTTATTTTTGTGCCAATCGTTGGCTACGCCACTGTTTTGCGTCTTACAGCAGAGTGGATGCGTGTTGGTGCAGCTTCTATTGAGAAGAAAACGAAAGATGAAAGAAGGGAAAGCGTAAGCGAGAGGTACGGGATAAGGGTAGCTTATAGAACCCCTCATCAACGTAATGCCCTTTCAGATACACGCCAACGTCATTACGGAGCCGTGAACTATACACGCGTACGCGCGTGTGTATGCGAAACGCGTCGGAAACAAAGAAATAGCACGGTGCCGGCCGCGCCGAAACTCACATTTTAGTCCTTGCAAAACGGTTAAGTGCGGCTCTTAAAAGGACCTGTTACAGGGCGATTCGTCATGGTCGACGAGAGTTAGTTCCCTCGCAGCTCCTACGTGCCGAAAGCAGTCAATTTACGCAGGATTTACTTTCGCATCATGTAACAAGCCTGTATAAGCGATGCAATCAATTCAAGAAGACCCGCGCGCTTTATGCACTTCGTATAATTAAATCTAGACTCGTTTGACCGCTTCACCTTGCGTTACCTATAGGTGCAGCACTACATCCTCGTCGTGCAAGCGACGGATGGCGGTATGCCGGTGCTGTCGTCCACCGTGACGGTGTACTGCAACGTGGTCGACCTGAATGACAACGCGCCGATCTTCGAGACCGGGCCGCACGCGGCCGACATCGTGGAGAACGCGACCATCGGCACGCCCGTGCTCACCGTGACCGCCCAGGACCTGGACTCCGGCGACAACGGCAGGGTCGTTTACGCCGTCGTCGGGGGCGACGAGGGCGGCGACTTCGGGGTGGCCCACAACGGCACCCTCTTCACGCGTCGGCCGCTCGACCGCGAGCGGAAGCCGATCTACAATCTGATGCTGAGCGCCACTGACAGTCCACTACCGCCGGCGCGGCAGCTGTCCTCCACAGTACAGGTTGGTGAACCCTCGAAAACCCGGAGGATCTTTCTGTGACTTTCGTTGATGAATGGGGAAGTTTGGACAAATTTCTGAAGCCTCTTATCGTGTGTCGCGCTGCACCAGTTTTGCGCAATAAGTTATTCGTGGTCATCCGTGGTACACCGTGCGATAACTACTTGATAAAAAGTATTAGACGGCCTAAGTGGGAAGTTCAGCGTGAGCCATCGGTGGTGTATGCGCTACGAAACTTGTTGAGAGTAACCAGTGAGAAATGATTAGTAGAAACGATGTCAGTTCATAGAACTGTGTGTGCTATCTGGGCAGTGGTAATCCACTGGTTGACTCTTATACCCGTATTCATAGTCCTTCCTTATCTTAAGGACGGAGGAAGCCTCCATGAAGGATTCCTTGAATCTCCAAGGCCGCCTTGTTTCATAATGAGAAGGAGACCTCAAGGTCTCCTTCTAGAAGGAGCTTGTTCTCTAGGAACTTTTGGTAATTTACGATTGATGTCACTGTTCAGAGTACAATTAATAATCTAAATTTCTACTTCAACTGACTTCGACGCTACGACCCCTCTTAATTTCTACAATAAACGCAAGACGCTAGGTCGCAACGCAAAAGATCGACCAATCACGGTGAAGTATGAGAAGAATGATCGACTGTCACTGGCCGATTTCTTGCATTTTGCGTCCGTTGTGCGCATGATGCAACATTATTCTTATTTAATATTAGGTGAGCAACAAGGATAAATGAAGCATTATGCGTATCATGCGTGAAACGGACTGTACTCTTTCAACCAACGTAACAATGTACGTACCACGGCCAAGCCGTACATAAACTCAATAAGTACAATGTCAATCCCCGATCCTTTTAATCTGTATAATGATTTGATATCATCCAACGATGTCGTATCTCATCGGCGTTTCTCGTTTGCTAATAAGGCTGCGATCGCCGCCTCAAGAAAGCTCGCAACCTCCCTTGAGGTAAGGGAGCCAATAAGGCTCCCTGTTTGCTCAAGGAAGGTCTATGAAACGTGGAATAAGGAACAAGGAATCCTTACTCCTCAAGGAAGGACTATGAATACGGGTATTAGATATCTGTACATTTGAATTTGATGACGTTCGGTAAAAATCTCTGGTATTTAAATTACAATTATTCATTGAACTGCAGTCACGTGGACAATTATCCCTCTTTTCTTGAATTTTGCAACAACGTACCTTGTCGACCTCGCAGGTGACAGTGGTGCTGCTGGACGTGAATGACATGTCGCCGGAATTCATATCGCCCACAAAGATATCGATAATCGAGAACGCGCCGAGTAACTCGGTGGTGATGGCAATAAAAGCCATCGACCGGGACGAGGGTCGGAACGGTTACGTCGAGTACTCGCTGAGGGATGACGCTAATTTACCGTTCACCCTTGGCCCGGTGGACGGGCTGCTGCGTGTCTCCGGGCCGCTGGACCGCGAGCAAAGATCCAACTACACCCTGGAAGTCACCGCCAAAGATCGCGGCGAACCGCCCAGATCGTCGACGACCATCGTCTCCGTTACGGTGCTGGATGAAAACGACAACTCGCCGGTGTTCGAACCCAGGCAGTACTTCGCCACCATCGCCGAGAACGCCAGCATCGGCGCCAGTGTGCTGCAGGTCAGTGAGATTGCACGCTCCTAAAGCTTTAGGAGAGTTAAGCGGGTGGGATGGGAAAAGAGAAGATTTCTTCAATAAAAATATAGCTCTCTTTCTCTCTCAATATTAATTCATTCCTTTCTCATTGCTTCGGCCTCAGGTTTCGGCGATGGATCGCGACGAGGGTGCGAACGGCAGGGTGCGATACAGCATTTCGATGGGGGACGACAATCGGGACTTCACGATCTCGGAGGATGGCGGCGTGATCCGGGTGGCGAAGAATCTGAACTTCGAGCGCGAGTCCCGGTACGACCTGACAATCCGCAGCGAGGATTGCGCGGCGGAAGTCGGGAAGGAGCCGCGCGATGACACGGCTCAGGTCACCATCACCGTGCTCGACATCAACGACAACGCGCCGATCTTCCTCGATTCGCCGTATCTGGCGCACGTTATGGAGAACATGGTGCCTCCAAGTGGCGGTTTCGTGATACAGGTAATACTGCAGCGAATGAAAGCCTTCGGAGTATCCTGAGTGTTCGAACGTCGCATAAAAGTCCTAGATATTTGTAGAAAGAAATAGATATTTATGGTTTGAAAGTAATAATTAAAAATATTTAGATCCCAATTGCAGCTACGCGAGTCGAAATTTTATCCCGTCGTACACGCGAATGGGGCGTGTCTTAGCAAATGAGAAATGTCGAATTTTGTATGCCCGCTAAAAGGTTAAAGCGTACGACGCGGACACTCCACCGTACAACGACCAGGTGAGGTACTTCCTCAAGGAGGGCGACACGGACCTGTTCCGCATAAACGCGAGCACCGGCGATATATCGCTCCTCCGTCCGTTGGATAGGGAGTTGGTGCCCGAATACACGCTCACTCTAGTGGCTATGGATACTGGTAAGTGACTCAGCATCTATTAAATAGCCCATTGAACGTAGAACGTTTAAGCAATATTGCAGTAACATCGCAACATTCCAACTATATCCCAGCAACGTTTACATTATATTGCAACATTCCAGTTATATTACAGAAACGTTACCGCTGGAATGTTGTGACCTGGTCATATACATATTTAGATAAGTAAAACTGCCCAGTAAGTTACGGGGATTAACGAACAATTAATAACGTACGATACTTGTTAGAAATGTTTATCGCGTAGTAAAAGTCACCTGTCGAGAGAGCTGTGCTTACTCTCTGATTACAATTAAAGTAAACAATTGAAAGAAACGTTATTGCAAAAATAATCTGGGAGCGCTATTTCACGTTGAATACTACATAACTACATTGAAAACGTCGTGTTGTTAGAATGAATGAAAATTAAAATAAATGAAAGTTAATTTTTAATACAATTCTAATTAAAGTGCAGATTCCTACATATAAAATATATTCTCGTTAATTTGCTATATTGAGTTGCGGAACTGCAAAAATGTACTTAAAATGTTGTGACAAGAGAGAATCCTATTGTCGCCAGTAGTTGATTAACGATAGAAAAAATTATTTGACGACTTTAAGCTGGCCAAGTGGTTTATTTAATGACTCACTCCAACGTTTCCACAATCCGGACGGCCGAAACGTTGGAGTGAGTGAGTAATTAAATTAACCACTTGGCCAGTTTAAAGTGGTCAAATAATTTTTTCTGTTGCAAAATGTTATATTGCATACAGAATATTTGCGCGTCTTGCGCTCGTTCCGTTCGCTTGCTGAAAGCAAATTTAGTTCAGTGGCGCAAAATCAGCACGAAAGAAGATCGCGCGTATAATAAGGATACGCGCGTACCTTCCAGGATCCTTGTCGCAGATAAACTACTAAATAGGCGTAAATCCCGTACAACCTATCGTACAATCTATCGACATTGAAAAGATAACCCCCTTATTCTCTGGCAGGGATTATTTTTACGATCCACTTCGCTGCGACCGGTCCGTGTAAAACTGGTTGCGAATTAGTGCGAACAAAGCATTTAATTAAACCTGGATCGGCGCAACCGAGATAGTGTGGCCGAACGAACAAAAAAATAGCTAAAGTTATTGGAATGTAAATTTGTAATTTACGCTGAGAAAGATTGTTTGAACGCTGTAGACAATCTCTTCTTCTTAATCCCATTTTCCTTTTCTTTCTTTCCTTCGAAGACTGATATTTACAAATTTGCCCAATATGTATAACTTTCGTAAAATTTGTCCTCTATATTTTCATACTTTGATTGCTATTATCGTAACATTGCAAATCGAGATCCGTGCTTAGGAATTCCCCTTTACTGTACGCTTAAAGAGAGTCATTCGGTTGGCTATCAATCGGCTTTACGACTGGTGCGATCACTGTTATTTCTAGTTATTCTGAAATTGGCCTAAACGCTCGCGGAATTATGCCCGCGATCGATTCGTGGTGATTCCTTATGCAAACCATGCCACCAGTCGTCCATCAAGCGACCCGGCGAAATGTCAATACTGCCAGCAGCGGACGCTGGCACATAGACGAGAAACGATAGAAGACGATGTACGCGGTGGGTTTAAGTAATGAGCGGTAATATACAAATTGGATATAAATTTGTGGGTTGTTCGATGAGATTCTTTAAGCGGTGGGCAGTTCCTCCCTCTTAAACCTTCCTTTTTTTTTCTCCTCGCTTCCTCTTAGAAGCCGGTAGTCCTCCCCCGGTCCTCCCCCCACCCCCGGTCTTCACCCCCTTCCCCGCCCTCCCCTCCACCCGTCCCGCCCCCGGTCGCGGTGGCTCGATGGCCCAATCGGTCCCCGGTAAGGTAGACAAGCCCGCAGAGTTATGACGCGCGATTATGATAATCGGCCTCGAATGCCTTCCTCCCTGTCTGCCTCGGCGCTGGCACTGTCCTCTCCTCCCTCCTTCGTCTCCTCCTGCTCCTTTGCCATTCCTCCCTCCGGTCCTCCCGTTCGACCGCGGGCCTTAGGCCCCCTTCCTCCCCCCTCTCTCCCGCACGCTTCGTTCCTCGCTACACCTCGCTATCGCGTCCGTGCCGTCCTCTCCCCCTCGCCCGCCCGTTCCATTCGGTCGTGAGGCCCCGCGCGCGTTTCGGGCCCCACGACCCCCCCTCCTCGTACTCCGTAGTGAGAAAGAGAGCCGTGCGTCTCTCTTTTGAATAGTGCCCTCCTACCCCTCTCCGGCACATTATATTCCACTTTATTCACATACACCGCCGAGCGTTGTCACGCGCTCGCGCGCCAGCGTACTCTGGCATCTCGGGGCACATATTTTTGTCTTGCGCGGCGCGCATTGTCGGGACGAATGTGGGGCCTTGCGACCCCTTCAGCATCTGCTCGCACATAAACAGGATGTCTCGCTTCTATTCGCTTCTTATTGAGAGATACGATGATTTGCCTGTCTGCTTTTCTCTTTTTATAATTAAAAAATGTGCACAACGAACGGCACACACGGCCAACTGACGCTCCGATAATTATTCCCTAACACCATTTCGATAAGGACACTCGTAAAGGAAACTACAGTATGCGCGAACGTCTTGTACTCTCTTTCTCGTACTCGTGATACCTGAAGGTTCCCTAAAAATCGATAATCCCGATCGGCCGGGCTGAAAATCCCGCTCAGTGGAAATCGGCGTGACGAGTGAGTTCCTTCATTACTGTCATTAGCAAGCAGTAAGCAAATTATGGGATTACTCGTTATGCAAAGTGGGCCATCTCTCCTGACTCTGAATCCCTGGGAACGCGCGTTCATCGCGTCATTGTGCGCTGCAATTGTTACACTGCCGCGTGTCTCATTCCTTTTCTTCCTTCTTCCTCCCATTTCTTCCGCCCTCTTACTTTTATTAGTCCCACAAATGTAATTGTATTTTATTATTTTCAAATATCCCCTTCCATCAAATTTTTATCGTTACTTCGAGGTAGACGGTTAATTTCAAGAGGTAAACTGAATACTTAGCCCGCGCAAAGCCAATAATCCATTTGTCACGAAACAACGGCGGTAAAATTAGAAGAAATGAAAATTATCTTTCGCTATTGACTACGGATACAATTATTGGACCTCCATGCAATGTTTCATTTCTTATCGTGGATTTGCAAATACTGTCGTGCGGAAAATTGAAATTATTGCCTAGATTAATTCGCAATATTTTACTTATTATACCTTCCTCAAACGTACCTTTTACAAAGGGGTCGTGGCGAATCGGCTCTTGCCAGACTTATCTACCTTACTATTTTTTTCCACGTTCTCTGTTCACGATATTACAAACACAAATTCGAAGGAAGGACTAAAGAGCCGTGGCAGGATGTTGGTGTCTAAATAATTCTTATTTTGAATCTACTGCGAAAAATATTTAAATATTACGAACCTGGACTCACTAGGCGGGCGTCTCTAGTGGCAGGTCCAGGTTCAAACCCTGGGTGAGGTAATATTTTTCGCAATAAACTGAGAGCAAGAATTGTTTAGACACTAACGTCCCGCCACGGCTTGGTCCTTATTTCCTTCGAATTGGTGTCTCTCGCGCGCGAGCCTTGTAAACATCGATTAGTTCGATATTATAAATTTCACGCGTAGTTTTAATCCTTATCTCCGTCGCCGTCGGATATTTTCCCAGGCAAGTCGAGGGAGAATCTGCAGCCACAAGAAAACGCGAGACTTTTGACACAGTCTGTATATCCAATCTGTACTCTTACGGGATATTTACCTAGAACATGATAAATACAGTTTCAGTCTCAGCCTCCGTCTCTTCCTCTCTCTCCCTCCTACCCCCCTCCCCCCCCCCCCTCTCTCTCTCCTGCTTTGTCTTATCCCTCGACGGGAACTCTCCGCGTGATTGAACGGTGTACGTTCGTGCAGGCGCGTGGCCCTGGGCTACGCCAACGCTCGCCGTGCACATAAGTGGCGTACATATACTAGTACATGTGCCGCGTATATACCCCGCGCGCAATCAGAGAAATCGGCCCTCTCCCCCTTCAGTCCCGCTGGAGAGTAATGGTGCGTTTTAGGCGGCGCAATTAAGCCGCGGCGAGACTTTTCCGCGCGCACTAACGTCGTTACTTGGGGTAGCCCAATCCGTAAATCATAAGCGGGTAGCACAATGGGCACCGCTCGGTGAACGCGTGTGTCACGTCTAAATTACCCCCGCGTATTGCCGGCCATTATTCAGCCGCCGCGCGCACTTCCGCGATCCAGAAAAGTCGCCTTTCCTCACGACTCCAATTACCTCCGCGAACCGACCCTGTGATTTTCAGAAGCGGCTCTCGAGGAAGCAACGATTAGGCTCTCGTTGGATGTACCGAATTAACTGACCTAGGAAAGTTTAGGAAGCGGTGTTTCGAGAGACTCGCGGGATAGAGTTGAGTTTCTTTAGCAAAATTGTTGAGAAAGTTTATCAAAGTTAACTCCCACTTCCCAAGCCGTCTGCAGACGAATGAAGCAGTTTTACAATGAGCGCAATCAATAATTGTTAGTCGACTCGCACTTAGAAATGTAAAGTACATTTCGATGCAAAATGAAATAAACGATATCAGTGGGCTTCTGCTCCGTCGAGCGCGCGCACTTTATCTTTGTTCCGAGTAATTTCGCAACGATCGGCCGAAAGGGAGGCAACGATTCGCCGGTCAAAAGTAAATATATTCCACGGCGGGCACGAGCAAGTTCTAAATCACTTTACGGCGTCTCGCGGGCGACGCGGACCCCACAATAATATTCTGTTAAAATTATGGCCCCGGTTTACCTTCCGTTTGGACCGATTTAAACCGTCATAAACGAGCCGCGAGAGGCGGGCCGTAAATTCAGCGGAATAATCGCGCCACTGACCCAACTACGGTCGCGCGGCGTTACGGTTCGCGAGATAGCAATAAAAGCGCAAAAAAAGGGGGGGGGAATAAATAATAAAAAATAGGAAAAAGAGCCGAGCTAGAGTACGGGGCGTCGGTGCGACCGCGGTTGTGTCTTTATGGCCGCCCAACGAGAACACGACTGAAGTTTCGCATCGCGTTTCTCCGCGTGTTCGCAGGCTCGCCGCCTCTCACCGGATCGGGCATCGTCAGGATCGTCGTCCTCGACGTGAACGATCACAGCCCCGAGTTCGCGCGGCAGGACTACAAGGCCACCGTGGTGGAGAACGCGCCCGCCGGGACTTGGATCACCAAGCCGCACGCCACGGACAAGGACGACGGATTCAACGCGAAAATAAGGTAGGCAGTCCTCGTCGCCGGTGTCGCGTAATCGCAATTGCAAATGCATTTTTTACCCCCACACAGCGCACAAATGTTGTATTAACATCTCAGAAACGTTCCATTGCAACATTGCGTCAATGTTACGAACTGTAGATTCGACGTTGAAAAGATATTGCAAAAACGTCTAATGTCCGCTGAATTGTCATGTCTTGTAAACGTTACAATTCAACATTCGGAAAACATTGTTGAATTTTGAGTTAACATTGGTCGCGTTTAGCAGAATATTTTTACAACTGCTGGAAGTGCTGAAATTTAATTATTCCACTAAAAAAATAATCCAATCTTAGCTCAGAAAATTTCTCACCGTTGCAAAAATATTATATATATATATATATATGCATTTCATAATTATACATTTTTAAGTATCTATTTGAGTGTCAAAAAGTAATAATTTGTTCAAGATTGTTTTAACGTTGCAGAAATATAAAGAATTAAAGTACAAGCATTAATCTAGATTCAACGTAAAAAAGATATATACTTCAACATTCAACATTGTTTCAGCAACATTATTTTAACTTTCTGTGCTGTATGGGACTTGGCATGCGAGACGGTGAGTCGCGCAGATTTTGAAAGAAAGTTTCTTCCGGAAGAAATTCGCCATTTTGAATTAAAGTGTTATTCGGATACGCAGTTCTCTGCATTGTATATGTAATTCTAAGTAATGTTCAAGTTACTAGGGAGTTCTCTCTAATTTTAAATAAGAAATTTATGGTTTTTATCTTCTTCACGCGAGATTTTTGTGATCAGGAATCAAAACTAATTGTAAGAGCTTGTAAATAGGTTTACCCCGTAGATTCCCTAATAGCCCAATTTATTGACACAATATTAGGAAATAATGTAAAACATTGAGAGATAGACGCCTTCTCTTATTTCACGGAAAGAAAAGTGTAGCTACCGTAGCTAAAAACTGCGTGTGGCAGCTAAATTTCAGTTGTAAAATATGGACAGCTGATATTTAGTTGTGATAGCTAAATATTAATTGCTACTATGCCTATTGTATCAGGTGCAACAGCAAACCGTTTGCTGTGCTTCAGAAATTTACAGTTATGGCAGCAAAATATTTTTAGCGAATGATTAGCTACGATATTTGCCTAATATTGTATCAATTTTAGGGCAATATTCTTATTACATTGTTAAATATTGGCCAATGCACTTCCAATATAAATCCAATATTATATAATTATTGTTGTGCAATATTTACATTTATTCCATGGCCAATAGTGGCCTTACGCGTTGGACAATATCGGCTAATGCGTTTCTATTATAATACAACCGACATTAGGCCCATGTTTAGCCAATGTTTAGCCAATGCTACTAGGGTTTACTTCGAACCAATGGTAGCAAAATAATAATCTGCACTTACCGAGCGCGACTGGATCAATTTTATTGATAATGTATTTTACAACGTAGTTTTTATTACGTTTTCAAAACAGTTACAATCTACTTGGGGACAAAGTGGAGCGGTTTTCCGCTGACCCCGACACGGGCGAGGTGTTCACCACAATGCCGTTGGACCGCGAGCAGACTGCCGTGTATTACCTGACCCTGGTGGCCAGGGACTCGAGCCCGACGGAGCCGCGTGCCTCCGCCGTCAATCTGACGATTTACGTGACGGACATGAACGACAACGCGCCCCGCTTCTCCAGTCCCCGATACACAGCCTACGTTCCAAGCGCGACCGAGCCAGGTAATGAGAATCGGCGGCAATATCAAGTGCGTTAATTAAATGCGTTAATTACCGACGAAAGGAAGAACCACCGCAGAATGGTTCTGCATACCGCTAATTAGATAGCCGCGAACCAGAATGCTGATGATTTTTTTTCTCTTTTTTTTTACAGGCGACTTCGTCTTCGGCGCGAAAGCCAGCGACGACGACGACGGCGAGAACTCGCGGATCGTCTACCGGCTGCACGGCAAGGACGCCGATCGATTCACCATTGATCTTAACAACGGCGTGATCCGCGCTACCCAGGAACTGATCGGCGACCAGACCACCTATCAGTTGCAGGTACAGGCGTCGGACTGCGGTGTCGAGCCCCAGTACGTTACCGCCGACCTGGTGATCCACTTGTGGGAACGGCAGCTGTTCCCCAGCTTTCAATCGAACGTCAACACGATGTTCGTGCTGTCCGAGGACGTGTCTGAGGGTAGGATGATCACCAAGCTGAGTGCCACCACACCGAAAACCGGACCGGCGAGCAACTTGATCTACGGCATGGCTGGCGGAAACGTTGGGGATGCCTTGAGGATCGAGTCTCACACTGGAGAGGTCAGATATTTTCATTTTATTTATTTAGCTCTCCCTTTCTCTCTCTCTCTTTCGAGCGGGAGATGGTATTTTTTGAAAACGGTACCCCGTTTTCAAAAAACGAAAGTTTTATTAACACCTAGATAGCCAAACTGCCAGAACAGATTTCTTTAAACGCCCACTACGAATTTTGAAGGCAGAAAGACTGCAGATTGTATACAGGAACTGATACGTTCGACACGTTGCCAGCATGTCAGCAGAAATACGACAAATCTGCTCACATAACTGGACCTGCTCGGTTTCTGCTGACAATCTGTTGACAGCGTATGTTTTACAGACTCTCTTGCCAAAACTAAAGCCAAATGCGGACACAGATGGCCAATCTGATGTCAATCTGCTAACATTTTGCTGACTGGGCCTTTTTTGTTTGCGTTCGCAATAGTTGTTCATTATTTGAAAAATTATTTGCATTATTATTTCGCACGATATTTAATTATTACAATTCTCCTCCAGGTCGTGGTTGCCTCTGGCTTTGATTATGAGACGGCTCCGCACTACGAGGCCTGGATTGAAGTTTGCGATTCGGACACGCCTGCGCTGCGCAGCGTTCTCCAACTCCTGGTGAACGTCACGGATGCCAACGATAACGCACCGGTTATGGAAGCGGCAATTTACAACGCGACCGTGATGGAGGAGGAGTATCCGCCATTGTTTGTCGGCAAGGTATCTGCGAAAGATCGCGATTCCGGCGAGAACGGCCAGATCACTTATCATCTAATCGACGACTTCTCCGAGTCCTTCATCATTGACAGCAACACTGGGCAGATCGAGAGCAATGCCAAGTTGGACCGTGAAGAGGTAGAGATATTACATCCATAACTTTCAATTCATTGCAATATTCAAAGCCAGTTATAACCCAGCAAGAAACGATTCGTCGATCAAGTCAAATTGAAGTCGATTCGACATGTTTCGACATCGATCGATGAATCATTTCTCACCGGGAATTATTTCGAACCAATTCTATCTAAAGATTCTGACAATTAATGCCATTTAATTAAATTCACGCTTGGAATTCCTTCAGATTGCGTCTTACGAGCTGATCGTGGAAGCCAGAGATCAAGGTCATCCCCGACTAACCGGTACCGCGACGGTGCTGGTTACCGTTCTGGACAAGAACGACAATCCGCCGCACTTCACGCGACTGTTTAGCGTCAACGTAACGGAGAACGTGGAAATTGGCACGTTCGTTATACGCATAACCAGCAGCGACTTGGACATCGGCCAGAATGCGAACGTCAGTTACAGCTTCACCGACAATCCAGGAAAGAAGTTTGCCATCGACGCTCTAAGCGGAAACGTGACCGTGGCCGGGCAGCTCGACAGAGAGGAGCAGGACGAGTATCTACTGAAGGTAGGATATTTATTATAATTTTCAATATTATATATTGACGCAGATTTGTAACGCTGCATCTTTATCAAATCGAAGGGATTGCATTTGAGCTCGCGAAAAGCAACACAGAAGGTTTAAAGAAAGTACTTGGAGATATAAACAACGGAATTTAAGAGTTTCAAAAGCTTTTCAAGTTTTAGACACTTTTAGATGTGAGGGAAGAAAAGCATCTTTAAAAGAAGTGATATTTTAAACGCGCGACACACATTTCTTGAAATATATATTGCAGTTGTAGTTCTCTTAAACATTTGCTTCGCTTATTGTATCAGATCAAAACTTTCTCTCTTTTCTACTAATGTTTCCTACTACTTCGTTATAGGTCGTGGTAGCAGACCGCGCATGGCAAGCAGAGACTCCCCTGACGATTACCATTCAGGACCAAAACGACAACGCGCCCGAGTTCGACGAAGACAGCTACCATTTCCATTTCCCCGAGCTCCAGCCGCGGGTGGCACACGTCGGCACAGTCCTGGCTACCGATCGCGACAAGCAGGGACCGAACTCCGTTATATCTTACAGCCTGCTGCAACCGTCCGATCTCTTCACCGTCGATCCGGCGACCGGCGACGTCTTCAGCAAGCGTATCCTACGTTACAAGCACACGCATCGGCCGTCCTCACCGGAGAATCTGTACTCGCTGACGGTGGTCGCCACCGATAACGGCAAGCCGCCGATGTCCTCGAGGGCAGTGGTACACGTGAGCGTGGTGGACGCCAACAACAACGCGCCTCGCTTCGAGCAGAGGTCTTATCTGTCGCCGGTGCCAGTGAATTATGGGGTGGGCAAGCGTATTATTCAGCTGATCGCCCGCGACGACGCCGACTTCGGCGTGAACGCGGAGGTCACTTATTCGATGCAGAGAATGAACGACACGATCGAGCTGTTTGCCATTGAGGAGCGATCTGGCTGGGTTTACGTGCGTAGGAATCTCAACGGCTTTCCCGTTGGCACCGTGTTGCTGCTGAGAGTGCACGCCACCGACAAGGGCGTGCCGCGGCAGCAGGACGAGGTCCTGCTGACTCTCGTCATCTCCGGCGAGAACAAACACGCGCCCACCTTCGCTGCCGTCAGCTACCAGGTCAGAGTACCGGAAAACGAGCCGGCCAACACCACGATTCTGACGGTGAGCGCCGAGGACGGCGACAGCGGGCCTAACGGCATGATCCGCTACAGGATCTCGGCCGGCAACGAGAAGAAGAAATTCTTCGTTCACGCCATCACCGGCGCGGTCACCATACTCGAGCCCCTCGACTACGACTTGGTGCAGGGATACCGGCTCAACATCACCGCCACGGACCTGGGATTCGAGCCGAAGCAAGTGGTAGCCACCTTAACGGTCAATGTCTCCGACATCAATGACAATTCTCCGATCTTCAATCAGAGTGTCTACGAAGCGTTCTTGCCGGAAAATTCGCCACCTAAAAGTTTCGTTTACAAGGTACGTTCATCGTGGAATTTTTTAATCTGATTTCTGACATCTCTGGTTCCTTACACTGAGAGAAAAGTGCGTAGTATTTGC